GGTCAAAAGGAATACTCTTGGTACTTTTTACTCACATGGATTGTTTTGCAACCTTTAAAGTCTTTAAGTCTCTTAAGACTTTAAAGTCTTTAAGTATTAGCATGAGTTTATCATAATTTTTTAGGTCTTCCCCCAAATTTGCGGGCTTTTTTAATCTCAATTTCAGACAATTATTAAAAAAACAATGTAAATGTCCTTTACTATCGAAGCCATTGCAAATATTAAAAAATGCAGTAAACAATTAGTACACATAATTAGTACACGTGTAATTACAATTAGTACATGTGTAATTACAATTAGCACATATGTACTAGTAAATGTAGGACAGTATGATTCCTTGAAAAACATATTTTTTCACAAAAAAATTCTCGAAGACTCAAAGAAGTAGAAAAGCAAATCTCTGGCCACCAAAACTACCAAACACACAAAAAGTCAGCAGATGGATATAATCTTTTTTTTTTTTTTTTTAAGATTTTATTTATTTATTTGACAGATAGAGATAGGCTGAGAGGCAGTCAGAGAGAGAGAGAGGAGGAAGCAGGCTCCCCGCTGAGCAGAGAGCCCGATGCGGGGCTCAATCCCCAGGGTCCTGAGCCGAAGGCAGAGGCTTTAACCCACTGAGCCACCCAGGCGCCCCGGATATAATCATTTTTGACTAATGTGGCATGTTGAGGAAATTACTATTGGGAGCATTTTTGTTTTCTACCAAATTGCTGAGGCTCCCTTCATATGCGGCAGTTTGCTTTGACTGTTTTAACCAAATCATCTCTTGCCAGCAAAGAGCCAAAGAAGCTAACTGATTAGGATGCCAAACTGCAGGCTGGTGAGATACGTGAAGGGTCAAAACAGAGCAAGAAGGGCCAAGGGAAGATGGGGAGAGCTCCGGACAAGGCCTGAAATACATCTCACCAACACCGAGTTAGTCTTCCTTCAAAGGGTAGCAAATTCATCTTAGATCTAGACTTGGCCCTTAGGATGCAGCAGGACTACACTGATAAAGGACATAAAATATGAGATATTCTGAATGAAAGAGTTCATTATTATTATTTTTAAAGATTATATTTTTTTAAAGATTATTTCTTTGAGAAAGAGAGCGCATGACTGCATGAGTGAGAGAGGGAGAGAGAATCTCAAACAGATTCCGCGCTGAGCATAGAGCCTAATGCAGGGCTTGACTTCATGACCCGAGCCAAAACCAAGAGTCAGACGTTTAACTGACTACACCGCCCAGGCACCCGGGATTTTATTTTTAAGTAATCTCTACGTCCTACATGGGGCCCAAACTCATAACCCGGAGATCAAGAGTCACATGCCCCACGGACTGACTGAGCCAGCCGGGTGGCCCAAGAGTTCTCTACTTTAATTTTAGCATTGACATTATCTTCTTTATGCTAGGTATTTGCTTAGCAAACTCTTTTTTTCATACATGGTACAAAAGCAAATTTCATTTTCCATATTCCCCTTTGAGTTATTACAAATTATAAATGGGGAAGTATTCTTAATCAATTAAGTATTACTGTGTTTTTAAAAAACCCCTTTTTGCTTTGTTTGGTGTTAGTGAAATGAGGATAACAGCATCTTCCACCACAGAAATGGTGGAATAATTAAGAGAATGTAAGTGAAACATTTGAATTCCAGAGAAAATACACTCTAATTTTATTATTTTCCTTTTCTAGATAAAGCAACTGGGTAACTCACTCAGCTTAAATAATAACTAATCATTACAAATTTTCAAACTTTTTGCATTTGCATTTCTTATCCCATTACTAATTTCTGAGGTTAAAACTCTTACCTTAGAATCTTTAGAAGTTTTGCTCACTTTACAAGCTTGCCAAGAGCAGATTACCCATGGATCATTCAGTCTATCAGCCTCTAAAACAGGAAAGTGAATTTGGGGAATTTCATGCTAAAGCCGAAAGCCACTAAAGAGCATCATGCCTTCTCGGTTTTGAGATAATGATTTTGAAAGACTCCGTGGTGAAACGCTTTTATCTTAAAAAACCGCACTTGGGGAGCGCCTGGGTGGCTCAGTTCGCTGAGTGACCAACTCTTGATCTCGCCTCAGTTCATGATCAGGTCCTGGGATCCAGCCTGTGCCCTCATTGCAGAATTGCTTGTTCCTCTTCCTCTGCTCCTTCCACTCCTTCAATCTTGCCGGTGCTCTTTCTTAAATAAATAAATAAAAACTTAAGGGCAAAAAAAGGACAGCCTTTCAAAAAAAAAAAAAAAAACCCAAAAGACAAAAAAACAAACAAACAAATAAACAAATAACAACACACTTGGTACAGTAGAAAAACCTAGGGCCTGGAGAACTGGTTCTTCTGATCATACCATTTATTAGACGAGTGGCCTCAGAATAATTAGCTCCTCTGGGCCTTAATTTCCATTCTGTAAAACCTCCTCTCAGCTCTAAATTTTGGATCCTGTGCTTACTAGTTTATTTCTTCAGTGTCTCATGAATTAATCAGGAAAAAATCTGGAGAAAACCAAGACTTCTACCTGTATCATTTCATCAGTTTTGCCAGCTCACCCATCCTATTTCTACTTTTAGGCTGAGAACCCTTCTCTTGCTTTTGATCTTTCCCTCTTATGCACTTTATGAACAAATTATAGTATTAATCACAAACACCTGTAGAGTGCTTTCCAAGATTTACCAACCCCTTCTGCAAATACTCTTAATTGATTATTATCTTAATAATAGGCTGGTAGCTATTATATTCAGTTTACCTGGCCTGCCCAGAAGAGTTCAATGAATGAATTGTCCAAAGTGACACAGATAGTAAGTTATGGAAACAAACCTTCTGATTCCAAAGTCTATACTCTTTCCACAACATTACTGTTCCTAGTAGGAGCAGATCCAGATTTGTGGAACCTGAGGTTTATACAATTTTGGTGGACATTTTCAAGAAAAGGAATACAAAATTACAATAAAGCACTAACATAATCCTGTGAACACACTGTTAGGGTTCCTCTTAGGGCCCTGAAAGGGGGTCTATTCAAGCGAAGTGCTTTTAGGATTAATCTTAAGGATTGAGTTTCATGGTTTTCCGTGACTATACAATTATTTAATTTTCACTATATGCCAGACACTTAAGTAAAATACTGTTTTTGTTATCATAAAAACCCTATGAGGTAGGTACTATCCTTGTTTTACAGAGCACAGAATGAGGCTTGGAGAGCAAAATAATTTGCCTAAGGATACAGAGCTTGTAAGTGCAAAGTATCAAAACTGGAACTGAGACATGGGTTGATATTATAAATCTATGGTACTTTGTTCCTATATAAGCCTTTTTTTCGGGTTTCCTGGGAATCAACCTATTCTACCACTTCCTACTACATTCTACAGTTCTGGGCCTGATAGGCCCATGTCTGAACCAGTGCCATTTTGTCTCCCCAAATCCGTTCTCCTATCATCTACCATGAATGCTGCTACCACCCTAGCAATCCTAAAGCCCTGCTGTAATTCTCTGCATTTATCAAAGGTGGAAAGCAGTTACTGCTCATATGCACTGTCTGGCGATAGATTCTGTACAGCCTTCTGAGGTGCTGAACTATTACGGAAAACTTTCTTTTGTGTGAACCAGGCACAGTGGGTGAAGGGAAAGCACATTTACATCTCAGAACCTGATCCCTCAATCCCCACTCCTCAATCACAGTTCTTCATTTGCAACACAAAACCTTAAGACCAACCTCACAGGGTGGTAAGAATTAAGGGCAGAGGGGGCAGGGTTGGGGCCAACAGCAAGTGGTCCTCAAATGTTGGTTGATTTCTTCTGCCTCACTCAATCCCTCCAAAGAACTTGTAAATTCCTTGAAGGCAGGAGCCTTCATACATTTTTGGTATTTCCCAAAAGCCAACATAAGAGACACCTCATGATTATTCAACCAGATCACCTAAACTGATACACTCCAGTGTCTGGTCTTGCTCAAGAACCTACAATGGCTGTGAGAACAAAATCAGACTCTGGAGTCTGACTTTGGATGTTGCTCACTTTCTCTGTGACCTCTGCAAAGTTACTTAACCTCTCTGAGCCTCAAGCCCCTTATTTGGAAATGTTAAGAAGTTACCTACCTCATAAGGCTATGATGATAATTCAGGTGAACTGCTAAGTACATAATCAGTTCCTCAAAACTGCTAGCTGTATTTATACCCTGTCCCCAACATTCTGCGTCCACAAAAACTTGGCCTCTGCATTCTCATTTCTCCGTGTTTCCAACATACGCACCTCCCCGGGGACCAGTCTCACCACCCTCTGACCTGCTCTACTTTCCCGACTTCGGCGTTTAACGCCCAGCCTTCATCAAATGCCGCAGGGGACGCTCTGTATTAAGAAAGTTGCATCAGTTCTCTCCCCAAAACCACCAAAAGTGCCCAGGAGGTCGGTTCTACTACGGTTGCCTTTTTAGGGAACAGGAAACACGCCCTGAGGGTTTGAGTGACTTCCCTGAGTTCAACGAACTCTGCTGAGGCCGCAGCCCGCCCCTTCGGCCTCTTCCCGGGCCCAAGGGGGCCGCGCGTCCATTCACACCCTGCCCAGTCCCTCCACTTCCAGTAGCTTCCCCGCTCCTCCCCGCGCCGGTCGACCCCACACCTGAGTCAGGCCCCCGGGGGTACGCCCCATCCGTCCTTGGCGGCTTTTCCCTTTTCTCTGCCAGAGACTGAGGGGGAGGCCGACGCCGAAGTCCCGCACGCGTGTAGGTCACCGCGAACTCTTTCGGCTGAGGACCCGAGGGGCAAGCTCCGCAGAGGAGGGCAGCAGCCCTGTGGACGCCGCAAAGTGGGGGCGCAAGGCGCGGGTCCTGCCGGGCCGCCAGTCACGTGGCGGGGAGGGGGCGCCGGCGCGCGCCACAGCGCGGGCGGGCGCGCGCGCTTGAGAGCTTGTGGAGGCGCGAGTCGCGGTTCGGGCGTGTGTATGGTGGGGGGGGCGGGGGCGGCGGCCGGGAGGGCAGACTCCGCCCCCTGTGCGCATGCTCGGGCCCCGGCGGATTATAAGGCAGCCCCGCGGGCCGGGCCCGACAAAGTGCTGGCGAGCTGCGACGTGACCTGTCGGCCGCGTGGGTGCCCGAGCGAGCTAACGAGGTAGCTGGCGAAGGACGCGACCTGGACCCTGGGCCTTGCGGGACTCCAGCCGTGTCACGTACACGCTTGGCGGCGCGAACCGCGCATAACGGTTAGTTGGGTAACGGCCCGCGGCGGCGCTGGGCGCGGACCCCGCGGTGCCTCTGCCGCCCTGGCGGGTGGGAGGGGGCCTCGGGACTGGGGCGCAGACCTGGGTCTCGGGGGAAGGAGGCGGCCCGGCAGGGGCATCGTGGCCGCGGGCGGCCGCGTAGCTCCGGAACGCGGCGTTGGGGAAGGAGACCTTGAGGCGATGGGGACAGTGCCTTCCCTCGTCCGGCGGGGCTGCGGCCCGGTAGTCAGGTGCGGGCCACCGGCCTGGCCGGGGAGTTGGGTTTGGATGCCGGTGACCTTGGGGAAGTAGCTTTTCCCCTAGCGTTCAGGAGTCTCCTCAAGAGATGCTTTTAATTTGGAAAAGGGACGACGTGGGGCTGGCTCACGTGGTGCCTCCCCGCTCTCCTGGCCTCGTTCTGCTCGGAGAGAAGGGACTCGGGGTGGGAGTTATTTTGGACTCGTGGCATGCCTGCCCCAACCTCGGCCAGCCAATCTTTGCCCCACCTGGTGACTTGCGAGGGTGGTTTGGGAAGCCGCAGTCCCCGCAGCCAAGACGTGACTGCAGGGTTCGAGTGGACTTTGCGGAGGGAATAGTGCAGCTGGCCGACGCGGGGACTGGTGCTGACGGGGACTCTTTGTCATTCAACCTGTGGCTGCCGAATCTCGACTGGAGCGCCCTCGCGCTCCTGGTCTTGAAGGCAGCCCTGTTGGGAGGGATCTGAAGGATAGCGTTACACTTGGTCAGATGCACGCGTTTTGTTCCAAGTACATCCTTTTCTTCCACGTGCATTTTAGCATTTCATTTCTTTGTCACGACTTGTTTGGTGTGACGAGCACTGGCCCAAACCACTTTGTGATTATTTTCAACCAAGAAACAAACGGATTTCTGCTTGAGCCGGTTTGCAGCGTTTGCTTACGAGCTAGGCGCCTACTGATAACAGTAGAATGTTTACAGAGCTACTCTTTACCATAACTAGTTTTGAAATGTTTTTTTTTTAATTTCCCAAAAGTTATTCCGGTTTCGAAATAAAATGCGCACATGTCAGTGCCCTGATGAAACAAATGTGGGCTTAGTAACTAGTGGAATGTCGTGATAGGGTGAACTCAGTATTGTGTGAAAGTTTGGAAGAGTATGACTAGGAATTAGGCATTAATAAACAATGTCAGTGTCGTTTACCAGAACTGTGAGTGAATTAGAGACTGCGTATCTTCAGCTTTTTAGGATGGCGTTAAGTAGTGCCCCTAAGTCCAAGTCTTATGCTGAGAAGTACAACTTTGCCTTAAAATTGCCATAGGAAATATCAGGAATTCAAGATATCTAGGCTTTAATACAGGTAATGGGTAAGTTTTATTTCAGAGTTTAACATACTTGAGTAATTTAGGGTTTAGATAAATGCTGTTCTTTAATCGTATTGCAGTGACTCTTGTTAAATATATAAGTTAATTGTCTGGAGAGATTTTGTGAGATTTTTATAGCTGAATAGATTTAAAGGTTTGGTTGTAAGCTTAACATAATAGGCTATAACATCCCTGAACAGATTTTTTGAAAAGGATAAAAAGGTCATAGGCTGAAACCATTTGATAGTGTTTGAATAGTTTACATGTCTTTTTGTCTTCTAAATATTAATGCATATAACATTAACCCTGGAAAAGATCTTAATGACCAGCTAGTCAGATTCCCTTATTTTACAGATTAGGAAATTGAAATTGGAGAAGTTAAGTGACTTAACATCTTAGATGTGAAAACTTGTTTGTGTGGGAATTAATGTCTTTTGACTCCTATTAATCAGATCGGCACTCTTGAGCTTTCCGTAAAATTGTTAATATGGATATAAATTATTTTATACTAAAAATAGATATTTGAGGAACTTTTGCCCAATTTATGTCCTTCATTCCCATTGTGTTTTCAGTCCACTTTATAATGCATCCCTATGTAGGATTTAGGTCCCTGTAAATGCCTATATGGTCAGTCTGTTTTTGTTGCAGATGAAGACTAGGAAGATGGAACTTGGATGTGAGAAAAACAAACCAGAGAGTTGTGGGTATTTATGTATTCAGCAATTTGTTATCAGCTGCTAGGCACTATGAGAGACTTAGGTTTCAGCAATAAACAGGTTCTGGCCCTGTTCCTCCTGGAGTTTTTAGTTTAACTGAAGAGCAGATAGACTGGTAACAATGATTACTACAAGTACTCTTTATAAAGAAATAACTGAGTGTTATAATAGAGAAAGTACAGATTCCTGGGGAACGAAATGGTGTATTCTGTACTTATGCAAAGACACCCAACCTAGTATAGAAGCAATCTGGGTAGGCTTCTGTGAGGAAATGCTACTTAACTTTTTAGACTTGATGGTTAGGAGCTAACTAAGCCAGGAAGTGATGGTGGAAAAAGCATTCCAGCCATGAATGCTGAAGCTCCAGAGTACAGGGTACGTTGGAAAAACTGCAAGAATTTAGCAAAGCTAAAGCATAAGAGGGAGAAGGGAAATTTGGGAGAGGTGGAAGTTGGAGAGATAGATAATATCAGATAATGGAATGCTTTATAAGTCATTTTAAAGAATTAAGGAAGGGACTACCTTAAAAATTTAAGGAAGCACTCTTGCCTTGAAGCTAATCAAAAGCAGTTTAAGGGTTTGAAGAGTTGAGGAACATATTTTGCTTTTTAGGAACTTCACTCTGTATACAATGTGGGAACAGGCTGAGGGAGGCTTTTGGGAGTGTGTGAGACCACAGTGATGGACAGTAGTGGGAGGACATGAGAGGGGGGATCACACAGATGTGGGAAACTAGGGCAGCCAAAGTTAAAAGTATCTCCAACCTTCCAACTTGACCAAATACGATTTTGTGGGTTTACCAGATGGTATTTGTCTCCATTTAACCAGTGGGGGCAATTAAGACATTGTATGATTAGCCCAGGGCTGCTCAGGTTGTCAGTCTCGGAAATAAAACAAATCCATTCCTGTCCTCTTTGTAGTTCTGTTGGTGTTATTGATAGTGATTTTTTTTTCTTATTTATTCCCCTCTAAACAAACTTCTATCAAAAAATTTCAAACACAGTTGAGAGCCAGTGTTTTATCTATCCCTTTTCTACTTCCCTAGACCTGCTGGGTTATTCGGAAGCAAATCATATGTGTATAATTAATTTGTCTACGAATATTTAAGTATATCTCTAAAAGATAGGATTCCAGGAAATCATAACCACATACTATTGTCTCATCTGTAAAAATGAACATAACCAAATAACCAGGCAGTATTCAAATTTTCCTCAGTTGGCTTTTTTTGTTTTTTTGTTTTTGTTTTTGTGTTTTTTTAAGTAAGCTCTACACCCAACACAGGGCTTGAGCTCAAGACCCCACCATCTAGAGTCACATGCTCTAGTGGCTGAGCCAGCCAGGCGTTGTACCCCTAGGGTTTTTTGTTTGTTTGTTTTTTAATTTTTTAAGATCTAAATGTTTATTTGAGAGAGAGAGAAACCATGTAGAGAGGGGCAGAGAGAGAAGTCAGGCAGATTCCATGCTGAGTGTGGACGATGGAGCCTGTCTCGGACTCCATCTTACTACCCTGATATGGTGACCTGAGCCAAAACCAAGAGTTGGGTGTTCAAGCAACTGTGCCACCCAGGCACCACCCCATTCCAGGTTGCTTTTAAGTAATTGGTTTGTTTGATTTGGAATCCAAACACAGTCACACATTACCTTTGGTTGCTAATCTTTTAATCCGCAGTTTCCCCGTTTGTCATTTGTCATAATTGATTTGCTGAAGGAACCCGGTTATTTTTCCTGGTTTCCCTCATTCTGGATTTTGTTGAATATGTCCCTCTGGAATAGTTTTAACATGTTTTAGTTCAGCATATCCCTTGATTCCCTGTATTTCCTATAAATTAGTAGCTAGTTTGAAGACTTCAAGCATGCTTAGATCAGTTCAGGTTTGATTTCTGAGAGTAGGAACAGTGTGGAGGAAAGAACAAATATAATTCATAGGTGATGATGTATATTTCCATCAGGAGGCCTTTGGTTATCACTGACTTTGCTAAATTAATGGTGTGGCTCCATTTCTTCATTAGTGGCTTGCAAATGGCCTTTAATTCTCTCATATTCCTCTTTTTTTTTTTTTTTTTTTAGATTTTATTTATTTAGGGATGCCTAGGTGGCTCAGTCGGTTAAGCATCTGCCTTTGACTCAGGTTGTTATCCCAGGGTCATGGGATCAAGTTCCACATGTGGCTCCCTGCTCAGTGGGGAGCCTATTTCTCACTCTGCCTGCTGTTCCCCCTGCTTGTTTTCTCTCTCTCAGATAAATAAAATCTTTTTATTTATTTATTTTTTAAAAGATTTTATTTATTTGACACAGAGAGAGGGAACACAAGCAGGGGGAGAAGGAGAGGCAGGCTTCCCGCAGAGCAGGGAGCCCGATGCGATGCGGGGCTGATCGCAGGACTCTGGTATCAGGATCAGAGCCGAAGGCAGGGAAGGCAGGCGCTTAACTGACTGAGCCAACCAAGCACCCCTCTCTAACATTCCTTCCTAATTGATTAACTAGAATACCTCTATAGAAAATAGGGTTTTTTTCCCCCAGTTTTATTTTGAGATATAATTGACATTACTGTGTAAGTTTAAGATACATGGCATGATGGCTTGACTAACATATATTATGAAATGATTGCCACAAATAAGTTTAGTTATCATCCATCAGCTCATCAGATAAAATAAAAAGAGCAAAAAATTTTTTTCCTTTCAAAGAGAACTCAGAATTTACTCTCTTAACCTTCCTATATATAATGTAATAGTGTTAACTATAGTCATCGTGCTTTACCTTAACATATCTAGTACTTATAATTGGAAATTTGTTATCTTTTAACTACCTTCCTCTAAGTGGTTTTTGAATACTAAGGGCAAGTTAAAGTTTGTGTGTGTTTTGTTTTTGTTTTTGTTTTTTTGACAGAGAGACTGAGAGAGAGGGAACACAGCAGGGGGAGGGGAAGGGGGAGAAGGAGGCTTCCTGC